TGAGGTTAAGGTCAGACTTTTCCAGCAAGAAGAACGGCAAGGAATGTCTGAGAGTGCCTTTTTCGCACTACGATAAGTTCAGCAATAATTTTGCCGCGAACACTTTATTTATTCACAATACCTCACTTTACCAGGTTGCCAGGCCAAGTTGGAACAACCTCATCTTTAGTGACTTCAAATCTCGTGGGTTTGCTACTTTTCTCGCTTAATATTATCACGGAAGAAGCGACACAAAGCCGCTCACTAGCCATTTGGCTAGCCTCAAATGATGTTCAAATTGATCATTGTTACGCCAATCTGTGGTTTGTTACGTGCGCGCAGGGACGAGAGGTGAAGTGGCTGCATCGTCAACAGACACTAACAACAGCGTTTATTCTGAGAGACCATTAAAGGTTGGAGGCTTCAAACTCTATGCCCAGGGCACGATTTTATCATTTCTATAGTTATCAAGTTCAATCCTGAGGTCTATTGATAGCACTGAGCTTTTGTATGGCTATTCTCGTCGCGCTTCTACTGTATGAATTAAGAACACTACTATGATGAGAGCTACAAGGCCGCCCAGCAGGTGCTGTTGTATAGCGTGTTCTATTCTATTCTTTTCTCCGAAATCTGGCGCGATTCAACGACGGACTGGAAGTCTACACGTTCAGTAAGCGAGGTGTTGGTTAGAGCCTGAGTACTAACAACCAGACGCTCCACCGTGGTCATCAGGTGCAGCAAATGGCCCCTGTAGCACAGACTCCACCGCCTTCAGACAGCACGTGGAAGCAAATACCTGTGGAAACGTGGCTGTAACAAAAACATCACAGATTAGCAAGCAGCAAGTGGGCTACGCCGCCATTGACTGCATATGCCATCTACCCCAATACACACGAGCCTCTTATTCTCAGCATCCTCCCTACTATCAGAAGATGTTGCTTCAGAATATCGTTGCCAGAGAGGCTACAGATAAGAAGAAATTACCCAACAGGCTACACAGAAAGGATAAGCACCTGAGTTGCGATACAGTATACTGTCTCATCAGACGCTGAAACCCGAGGCCCTTCTTCAAAAGAGCTTCCTCGCGGTGGAATTATAAAGCCTTTTTGACAGTGGAGATCTTATGTTCGCTTTACAGAACTTGGTGGCATTTCTAGTTAAGACTTGTGGCTGAGAGCTGACTCCGGCAGACAGAACTTAGTGGCTGAATCACGACCCAAGGTCTTCCCCCTGCCTACTACAAATCTAGTTCATATTCCAGAACCTTTTCAGTCAGCTGCAAGTTGCCAATAGGAAACAATCCTGTAACCCTGTTCCGGGCTAATGGTTCAGAGTCCTTGTCTCTGACATCACTCCTGCAGTGCCGTTGCTGCATGGTGGCTTTCGGACACCCCGATGTTCCCTGCAAATATCAAAGTCTGAGGGAAGAATAACAACGCCAAGCTCTGCAATTGCATCTTAAGGCTGAATCCTTTGTCTTCTCCTAACTTTTATACACACTAGAGATGGACGAAGGGGAATCTTCAGGGATTAGAGTGCAGAGTGTTTTAAACATCCTTGCCTGTCCTTTGTTCACCCTTGCATTACTCAGAATAGGATCATGTAGACGAAATCGTAGAGACATGATGGAGAATGATATATCACTCTCTTCCCTTATTTAACGCTGGCTTTCGCCCGATACTGAAGCCAGTGCATTACTTACATCAATTACCTACATTCCACCACCTTTTTGCCAACTCTCAACTGCTGAAGTCTTTCCCTCTTTGCAGTCAAACACAACATCATGTGCAAGTTCAATCCCGGGACTCTCTGCGGGCGCACCCAGAACTACTACATAATGAACCACCGCAGACCTTTGTATCTCTGTCCTCAGACTGAACAGCAAATTCTCCAGGTTGTAAAGGAGAAGCCCACTATCTCAAAGCAGGAGATAGCCAAAGAATGCGGCTTTGACTTTGACTGCTATTGGGGTATGAAGTTTGAATATGCCCTCAAGAAGCTCTTCTCAAAGAATAGGGCTACGGACTCAGAGTTGCTCACTGGTATGTTCTCTTATTAACGAATGCGTTATTTAATGCGATGCTGATGAGTCTAGTGGAATTGAAGGTTGTTTGCATGGGCAATCACTCCGCAAAGAGGTTATACAGATATAAGCAAGAACATCAAAATATCAACAAGTGAGAGTCAAAAACCAAGTTTGAAACTGAGTTTACTGTCCTCTAGATAGTTAGAGTTTCACATTGGATAGTCCTGGCCAGTATTGAATACCTTGCTTCTGTCCCATCTCAATCAAGTATATCCAGTATCATCCAATAACCCATTCCCTCAGACCTTCACGTAGACATGTCGGAGCGATTCTATGGGTTACATCGATTGATCCTTCACTCATACCAACCACTATCGACCATCCGTGATGGTAGACTTGTGATGCTTCGCAACGACAGTTACACTCATGGTAGCAAGTCAATTGCAGCAGAGCGAGAAGCAAAGGAAGATGGTTTGGACCTCGTTCCGCATATCAAAGCTCACAACAAGCTCCGTGACTCCTGTATACTTTACTATGATTGAATTGAGCAAGAAGTTGTAGTGGCCAGAGCTCGGCAGGATGGAGAGAGCAACAGTTCAGAGGCTTGACAGTGATCCTGTCAGTCACGCGCTAGGCGATAACTCTAAGGTTAGTAGGCTATCGTGGAGACTGCCTCATCCAAGACATGAGATCGTGATCTGGCCATTATGACCTTGATCGCTTCTTGATTCACCCTTTTCTCTCGCGCTCCTTGATATTAAACTCCTTGATAATATATGGGGTGATCTTGTAGATTTTCGCTATCGATTCCCAGGTGAATTCCGTCTCGCGAAATCTAACCCACTAGACGACAAATTCAATCCTGCGGCCTGCCTTACGCCTAAAGCAAAGAATTCTAAAGACATAGTACCAGTCGAAGTGGGTAGCCTTATCGCGACCGCCATAGGCATCCTAGTTCGTGTAGAAAAGCTCAGGGTAGTGTTACTGAAGACTATGCTCGGTCTTCCTGGTGGTGGCACCGCCTATCCCCTCTTCGATGAAACCCACGGTCTGATCATCCACACAGATCATGGGATGCTCGATGCGATTGATCGGGCTGGATTTTGGCAATGCCTGTTGCACGTTGGTTAGTGGGTGTGTGACGGCTGAGAAGGTCGATGTACTCACGGTCTGCTCGAGATGAGGAAGCGTTTCCTGCAGGACCCGCAGAACATCTTGGGGCCTCAGTGCGAGAGGTGTTAGGATAAAGGATGCCGAAGGTGATATCGGACCTACCGTTTTCTTTTTCTTTTGGTGCGTCCATATTGGAGAGCTTCGTCATGGACCTCCGAGACAGAGATAAGATTGAGATGTGGGACAAAATTTCGCGAGGAAAGGTTAAGATTGAAGAAAAGCTTGAATGAAAGTAAGGATCCGGGCTGATGTAGCCGTGAGTACGCGAGGATTATGGAAGTGAACTGTTGGTGCTGCTTACCTTAGTTGCCAACGTAGTTATGGCCGCCAAACAGGAAGTCAACAGCGTCGATTTTGTTATTGTTTGCCTCAGGAATCGCCTTTATGTTTCCAATTATCTCTGTTAAAGCTCATAGCCATCGTTACTCTCAGAGCGATTGCCTCTCCGTCGCCGGAACATGTCACCAAATGAAACTTGTCTATAGCCGCTTTTATGAAATTATCGTTAAATTTGCGATAAATGGTTTTATTAAGACTATCGATTCTTTTTTTTTTTTTTTTTT